CCTCTGGTTCAACCAACACAGGTTATGGGCTTCTTCCTTTAGAAAGAACGCGCTCATTAAGGTCTGGTTCGCTTTGATATTTGAAAAAGGCAATAATCACTGGTTGGAACGTCGTTGTGCGATTGCAAGTCCAGAACACAAACGAAAACCAATAGTAAGCACCCCACTGCAACCAAATAAGTAAGACGCACCTGTGGAGTTCTTACGCTTTCATGTTGACAGCTCAATTCATCCAATTTCTAAAGGGGTGAACCCAATCTGTGAAACACACAAACCAACAAACCTATCAATCAGAAAAGGTCCAATCTCACGTATGTGCTTGATTGAGAGCTTACAGCTCAAAAGCTCTTACCTAGCTCGCGTAAGTATATGATGACCCTCTTGTAAAACTTGTCCAAGCGTGCATTTCTCTTCTACCTCTGCCCGGTTCACTACTGCATAAAAAAGAAGAAATAGAGACTCTTACCCGGCCGGGGGGAAGTCACAGACTCCTTAGTTAGCGACCTGAGGCATAGAGTCAATCTCGGTGAATGGAAGCCTCTTTTCCTCCTTGCCTATTTTTTGACCAGAGACTTCTGGATTTGGATCTTAGTCCAACCAAAGAAAGCGCTCCCAATGAAATTACTGGTCAAGGAGACCAACCTCCTGTGCAGTACTACTATATTTGCGAAGAGACGCCTAAGCGAAGACCCATCGCTAAATGTTGATTCCACCGAGAACTTGAACTCAAATCTCTCCATTACTCCGCAAAATCGTTGGTTTGACCGACGGAGTGGGAAATACGAGGTTTCTAAGACTGAAGTGAAGTGCCACATTAGAACATGTGGAGCCAAGTCTTGTCCAACACATAGGCTGCTCAAACTTTCCATTCTTAAAAGAAATTATTACTTTAGTGGTAATGAATTGGTTGAAGCCATTTGGTAGGTCACACGACTGAAATCACCTTCCATAACATTTATATCAAAATTAGATAAGCGCGCTAGACAAAAGCACACACTATAAATAAAATGCTTGCGTAAAAGCATCATATTTATGAGAACTTTTCTCGCTTTCAATTCCTTTGAAAAGGTCCCAACGGCAGCGCTCATTACCAAATAGAAAAGAACGATAGAGCGAGTGAATTCGTTCGTGGCCGGCCGGTAAGGCATTTCTTGTGGTTCGTTCATCTGATGAGGGCATTGCTCGAAAGGTAGAAGGACGAGATCCCAATTAAATGGGCTATTCAAGGTGTTCCAAATAATGATTCGCTTCGGGATGGTTTGTCGGGTGTTTTCCTTTGTTTCATTTTGTGTGGTCGGCATTAAGTAATGTCTTATTAAGATGTGCTATCCCCCTCTCTCCTACTAGAATCTATAATATCTGAAGATATTCCACTAAGCGAGACTTAAAGGTCCGGCTTTGATAGGAAAGCAGATCTCTTATGCTATTTACTTTTCAAAGGGAAGGCCCAGTGAGACCAAGAAAGAAGGTGTTCATCGGCTCATAATCTGGTAGAGGATTTTCTGCCAACTGATCTGCCACTGCTTGCCCCTTTACTGCTTTCTGAATGACAACGACAATGTTGAACTCTGTTAGGAGCATCTGCCCTCTGGCTATCTTTAATGTCAGAGAGGGGTTCTCAAATATGTACTTCAGGGGGTCCATCCTTGCTATAATATAAGCATGGTGGTGAAGTTCAACATGTAGTGCCTCAATTGATGTGCTGACCAAGCTAATGCGCAGCAAGTCGTCCAGGCCACTGTATCGAATTTCATAGTTTGTTAACTTAAGGAAAGGACGATCTATTATCTCAGCAAGAAGTTAACAGACTATGAAATTCTTTCCTCATCTTTGATTCCATTATTGATACGCGCTTGCTTGTTCTGCTTCTACGGAAGAGCTTGTGTTCGAAATTCCTTAGAGAAACCTGCCTTAAAGCAGCCCTTTCTTTCTTTGTAGATTTCCTGTCTGCCAAGCTATGCTATTTCAATTCTTTCTTTCTATCTCGATTGTATGGCCAGATAAAGGCTTTTAAACCTCTGATTTGATCATATAAAGGGAATCACCCTAAAGATGTCTTTCCTTTGGTTTTTCAATATGGAAACCAGCCTACTGGTGCAATGTTTGATTGCTGTTCCTTCCCATCTCTCGGGTTTCATCCTCTCGCTGCTCCAAATCGTATGTTTTCAAGTCTTTCTCTTGCCAGCGCATCATCTTTGAATTGATTCAACTTTTCTCCTCAATCAATCAGCAAACCAGCAAGTGAGGAAATCGTTCGCACATAATCGCTTATATAGAAGTCAGAATTTCCACTAGTCACGAATCTCTAAGTTGCCCTTCCCCTCTGTCCGTTCTCATTGATTCATTCCATTCAAGAAGAACAGGCAATCCATCAAGCTAAAATAGCGCACTCTCCAATCGCGATACACCGCTTTTGGGCGACACTAGCACCGTATATAAGGTAAATCACCCAATTTACCTGTCAATTTCCAAGCTCTTTTCACTTAATAGTGGGCTCAGTCCATTTCAAACGTTCAGTCGGATATAGATGGTAAATCTAAGAACTCGATTTCTGCCTTTAGCCGAGGTCTATTTTCTAAAAAGTGCTATCGGATATAGGTGTGAAATGAGTGAAAATGCTTTCTTTTGGCAATCATTCAAAGGGGAGCACAAAACAAAGGATGGTAAGGCAGCCAAAAGCCTAAAGGAATGGTTTCACCTTGAAGGCCGACTAGCTGATTTACATGGATGTGCTGAAGAAAACCAATTTTCACGTCCTCGCAAATACAGACATATGGTCAGCTCAGCTGGGACCATGACTTTTACATGGAGCGAGGGGAAGTTTGACTAAATATCGTAAATAGAGGTAGTGACTCTCCCAGGTGCTACACCCATTATCTTATTCTTGGGTTAGGCATTGGTGGAATATTGGGCAAGATTAGGGATGATCTATATAAGCGAATCCTTTTTTTGAGAAACATCTATGTTATTCACAACAGGAATCCCTTCCAGACTCAAAGCTTTCCCGCTCTAACAGATGGTTCCAATATCCCTTTCTTGGTAGAGCTATCTCAACATTCCATTTCTTTCTCTCTTTTGATTCTGAAGGCTCAGAGACCTCTTGGGCGTAACGACAAGGGCTAACTAAAGGAAGGGAAGGGGTCCGTACACCCAAAGGCCACGAGCTTCTATTTCTTTTTATCCCAAGCCGGTAGAGAGAGAAAATGCCGACTCTGCTACTGCTATCCATCTGCCTGAACCGCCTGCTAACTCCTTCTGTTATCCAAGCTTAGAAGTAGATGTTGCATAGATAAAGTGAAGTGAAAACTGACTGGTCGAGCTTTCTCGAACCACATTTTCTTGTTCCTGGCCGTCTATTACAAAGTCCTATACGCCTCTATTCAATGGAAAAAAGCAACGTTTGCGTCCACTTCAATAGACGCGCATGGGCATAGAAGGATTTCAAAGCAAAACTGTTACGAAAGCTGGGACAGATCTATTGACGTGACGGATTCGTTCGTCCACTTGCTGCGTACAGTTGTAAACACAAGGCAGTACACCCTCAGATTTAGGAAGAGAGAGGTAAAGGCCGCCTGAAACCTTACATCATCGCTGCCCCATCAACAGCAAATGCAACGAAAGAATTGACTAGCCATCTAACTGCTTTAAAACGTCCGAGGGATTCCCCAAGTACACAATCCCTTTCTTTTCTTATATGCTGGGTCGATTTTGCCAACCAATGAAAGTGATTTATATGGAGCCATCCAAAGAAGGCTCAATTGTAATTTCTCCACACCCATTAAGAAAGGGGATGAGAAGACTGCGCAATTAAGAAACCTTTAAGGTTTCTGGCTGTGCTGCACTGAGCGATTCAACTGAATAATGACTGGGGCGCATGGTCAAAGAGTCCATTAGTACGAGTCATTCACTCTAGCTTCGGAGAAGAGAGTCCAAATCTCATGGTTAACCAAAATTCTGTCTAACTTGCAAGCTATTCTCTTTCGGCCTTTGCAAATCCAGAGTTTGGTTGAGAAACATTTCTCAATATTGCACGCTTGTTATATTTGTTTATATAGTTCAAAAAGTATAACTAACTGAAAGCGTCTGTTCAAGTAGGTTGTTTGTAGTTTTCTTGCAATAACGGATTTGATTAAAAGAGATTGGGTTGGTGTTCAGTGTACCTTATTAGAAGATCTAAAATCATGCTTTTCATTCCAAGTGAGATGCCCAATAGAAAAGGAACGAGGGGGAGAATCGACGAGGAATCTAGAACATCAAATCATGAATTCAAAAGCGTGACGAGAATTCTTAACTCGAAATGTTAGAGGGCATCTTTTTCAAGATCCTCCCCGCTGTCTTTCAGTGGATAATTAAAGACAGCAAGATTTTTAGAAAGAGAAAGCAAATCTTTTGATGCACCTACTCTTTACCCTTGATTTTGATTGTTGGGATAGGTTAGGTGTAAGGTAAGCGGCTTCCCGGACTTAGGCGAGATCAGTCAAAGATGGATCGGGGTTCAGGCTCATCGAGCTCAAAACCTTTCCCTCGGCGTAATATTGATATAAATCAGCCCCCACACGGGAAGAAGTAGAAGTTGCCATTGAGAAGGCTCCAACTCTTTTACCCCGAATTAGGGCTCTTTTGCATGCCCAACTTCTCGAACGGATCTCTCAAAAAGAGAGCCCTATAAGGGGGTCCTGGAAGAACTGGTCCAGGCCGCGAAATCAACAGCCGGGGCTCTCTTCGCTCGAATTATGATTTTAGAGAACTGGGCCCGTTTGCGGAAGAGGTCATCCGTAAATATAGCCGGCGCTTTGATCCTGAGAAATTAGAGAAAAAACATTCATCTCTTTCCTGGCTTTCACTGAGCTTTCGAAAGAGGATAGCCACGTTCTCAGGCGAAACGCGATATTGAACTCAATCTTCACAATTTCGAAGCCCGATAATGAATAAGAGGCTTCTATCAATATCATGTCGCCCAAGGGAACCTCCTCTTTCTAGCTAAAAAGGGCGCAGAATTTCTCTTTCTTCTTTCTTTTCTTTTTTCTGGTATGCCGCTCCGCGAGCAAGGAGCGAAAGAACCAAGTGGGCTGTGGTGATGTCAGAATTTGCACCTATTTGTATCTATTTAGTGATCAGTCCGCTAGTTTCTATGATCCCACTCGGTGTTCCTTTTCCATTTGCTGTAAATAGTTCGACCTATCCAGAGAAATTGTCGGCCTACGAATGTGGTTTCGATCCTTCCGGTGATGCCAGAAGTCGTTTTGATATACGATTTTATCTTGTTTCTATTTTATTTATTATCCTTGATCCAGAAGTCACCTTTTCCTTTCCTTGGGCAGTACCTCTCAACAAGATTGATCCGTTAGGATCTTGGTCCATGATGGCCTTTTTATTGATTTTGACGATTGGATCTCTATATGAATGGAAAAGGGGTGCTTCGGATTGGGAAACCACTAGTGAGAGGGCAAAAACATGGGGAAGGACAAAGGAAAGAGCGGATGCCTACATTAAATCAATTAATTCGTCATGGTAGAAAAGAAAAACGGTGCACGGACCGTACTAGAGTTTCGGATCAATGCCCCCAGAAAGAACCATTTGAGTATGCAACTTTTGATGTGGCTTCATATCGATACTGCAATGGACCATCATGACTTGCTACTAGAATCAAAAGTAATTTTGATATAAATGTTATATCAAAATTTTGAACTTTCACTTCTTTCTTTGATTTTGCTTTCCCTTTGATAGCACTGGTCTCTCACTTTCTTTTGAAGTGGCGCTATGAAATGAAAGTTTATTGGAAGTGGAACATTCAGAAAGGCGGGCTTAATCTGTTCGAAAAGTAAGGTGTATTAAAAAGCCAAAAAGTGGACAGTTTGGATGAAATGATGCCTTTTATTATACGTAAGGCTTAGGAGAGAAAACGTAGGTGGAAAGCTTTGTAAAGCAGCTTTCGCTAAAGCTTTTTGCTAAGTCCTCCTAGTCAGACTCCGGCGCCGGGGCCATTCTATTATCTCTGAGGTATGTGGGGGTGGAACAGAGGCTTTCAGGGCCGAGGCACCAAAGAATGAAATTCCGATTGGGAAGTTGAGCTCAGTGATGCTAGTTCAGAGGTGAATGTGAGTTAGCTCCAAGGTCCTTGGTGACAACGGAGATGATGAAAGGAATTGAACTTGGGTTAAGGCGAGTTCCTCTTCTTAGCATTTGGGAAAACTGGAAAACAGATTACCACATTCCCTGACCGTTAACAGTCAGCTAACTCCATTCCCTGAAGATAAAGTAGTGGATGAGGGAGATACGTATATCCGCTAAGACCAGGTGAGGAAGATACAAAGATGAAGAATTCACAGACATCCCTTGCCCTTAGCGCCTATACGAATGATGGCTACTATAGCGATCCACACAAACAAGGAACAAAGGGTTCGCAGTTGAGTCTCATCCGTTCGAATTCGTTGTGAAACTTGCTCTAGCTTTTGATGTTGAAATGGCTATTCTCAGGGATCCAGGAATTGAGAGAGCTTTCTGTATCAACAAAAGGCTAATACGCTCTATCAACAAGCAAGAAGTTATGATCCGTTTCAAGTTGATTTGTCTGAGCCTTGGGGAAGGTCTATTCGTTACGACACCTCTTCAGAGAGAAGACCCGCAGAGGGAGCCCTAAGAAATTGGTTCCTTCTTTCTATATGCAGTCCGGTAAAGTAATCTACCCTAGTCTATAGGTAAATTGCCCAAAGCCTCCTTATCTTGTCGCCTTGTCCCTGGCGAAGATCCGAACTCGTCGGTTTAGGGCGTGTTAAAAAAACTGGTTGGAAAAAACACTTCCAGCTCGACCAGTTGAGTGGTTTTGGTGAGCCTTTCTAGTTACATTGGTCGTACCAAACATTGCCATCAACGTTCTCATCAGAACGCGGAGAATGCAGATCACCATTTGAAGAAACTTGTTCATCAGAATCTGAAGTTCAACAAAACTAGGAAGAATGAGGGAACCCTGGTCTGGTCTCAAGGCGTCAAGTAAGGTAAGAAAATAGGTTATATTTCTTCTCCGTTCCGTGGTCTTGTACACACATGGGACCTCACAATCGGTCCCCTTTTATGTCTTTCCCACTCGCCTGGACAAAGTGATACTGGATATAGCTGTAAAAGCAGTGAAGCCTATTTTTGCCCGGAGAGGATCAACAAATTGAGAAACTACTGTCGGATATACATGGCAAATGAGTCAAATCAGAGTCAGTTGAGTCAAGTCCTTGATTTGATTCTCTTTTCGGTTCCGTGACAGATGCTTTCCCTTTTGTTGATTCTAAGTAGGAAGAGGAACTCAATGATGGTACAGAGAGTATTTCATCCACAATTTTTCTTCAAATAGAGTGCACAATTTTGCCTCACCTTTCAAGGAGATCCAATCCCGGCTTAGCGACAGAACGAATCCACGTACCATAAACTCCGGAGTCACCTACTTACTTGAGGCTCTGCAGAAGAACTCACTCTCAGAATTGTTGGTTTTACTTTTGAAGGTGCGCATTGATCCCAAACAGGAAAAGTTCAGTCGTCTATGGATGTGAAAGCTGACAAACCATTTTCCTTTAATAGGAGGTTCATCAAATGTGAAAACTTCATTCTTATATAGCTCCCATTTTCACCTTTTCCTAACTCCTATTGGTTTGATGGGATCGAGTGTGAGCTTCGGTGGCAATCTTTTGGCATGGTGCCCGGTATTAATTAGTTGGTTCAGGTGTCCACCTGGTATGAGTTTGTTGTTGGGGTTGAAGAGGAAGAAACATAGAAGGCAAAGCTTAGTTTTTACCATTTGACCTATGCATCCCATCAAACAAAGAGGAAAAACTAGAGGTTGGCTGACTACTAAAAGTGAGAGGGATGTTAATGAACTCTCCTGTGTGAAGCATCTAGCGATGGATTATGAAATCCAGGAGAAAACTCTGATTGGAGCTATGATTGGGGGACAGCCCTTGCTGTAACAATGGAAAGCTTTTCTTTCCCTTATCGATTGATTTCAATCAAGAGATTGCTTTTCTTTCATTTCTGGTAGTGAGATGGCTTTGCTTGTGTGTCTGGGATTCAGTGTTGAATCTTGATTACGATAATCTCAACTAAGCAACCAGTCGGCGTTAAGGTTCGTTCGACCGTTCACGGTATCTTTATTTCCACTCCAGCATTCTAGGTTCACGACTTGCTCGTGGAGTTGTGCGGTGAGAAGAGACCAACCCAATTGAAGCTTTGTTCTCAATTCATTCTTTGCGCATTGGATCAAGAATGAATGGCTCACAAAAGAATCACTTTACTAGAGAGCACAAGGTTGATCGTAATCTCGTAGTAGAGGATACTTTGATTTGTATCGAACGATTTCAGTGTTTTCTTCCTGATTCCAGCTCCGAATAGACTGTAAATCAGAGCTTGGATCTGAACGAGATAGCAATGCTTAACACATGCAAGTGGAACCAGACAACTCAGCAGAGAAGGTAACTCACTACCAGAAAGAAAAGCAAGTCGAACGAGGAAGAGGACTTAGAAATGAGTGAATTCGAGCGCACCTACTCACTCTCAATCGCTTGAACTCAGATCACGAATCAAATGAATTAGGTAGGTGAGCAGCGAGAAGTAAGAAGAGGATAGCTACGCAGCTTGGTCCACCATAGCTAGAAGGGTTCTTTGGAACATTTCCTTGAAGGGTCAGCATTTAGAAGCAGATAGACTCATTTGCCAGAAGGTTGGTTTCGTTTGTCAACATATACTCTTGTTGAAGGTTAGCATTTCTGTCAAACAGGGATAGGAGAGTAGGTTTTGGGGAAGAAGTCCGAGGAAAAGCTCCTTTTGCTCTGTCTGTAAGGTTTTGTGCCCCCGTTTCGGAGACAGAGCCATTTGACTAAGCAGTCAATGGTGTATGTAGCCTCTTCAGATAAGAAATAGAATGCAATGGACAATCCTCCTATAGGTAGAGGAGTTTGCTAAGTTTGAAAACGGAATAGCGCACGGTACACTTTCTATATTGGCTAGGGTTATAGAAACAGATTTCCTTTTCACTAAGGCAAGCTCCTCCTAGGTCGAACCCGAGGTGAGACTCGGCTCGTAGACAGCTAGTTTACGTCTTGCATTCCTCTTATTGGCTTTTCAGTTCAAAGACTTTTTCAACTTGATCTGAGTCTTTTTATCGAAAATGAGGTTCTAGCGTAAAACACGCGGTTTGATCCCAACTTCAACGGACCCTTTGAGTCCAAGGATTTGAAAAGGAATCTATTGATGAAAATGATGACATTGGTATTAGTGTAAGGAAAACCATTGCACTCTCTTTCCAATCATAATGCATCCCTCACAGTGATCAAGACAACGAGGATTTAGTGATTTCAGCACACGAAAGAGAACTCTTGAAAGGTATTCTCCTACCATTCTTTTGGAAGTGGAACATTCAGAAATCTTCCTATTGATAGGGATTCCCAAACATGAAACGGATTCATACTATACTAATGGAGTCTCTAAAAGCAGAGACTCCATAGGCTTACATTCTTCTTCATTTATGGCAAGAACAAATAAGGAAAAACATCAGATTTGAGCTGCGATAGGAAATAGGAAATCCGCCTAGACACGGGTCGATACCCTTAGTGAAAGCTCTCTAAAAGGGGCGTAGAATCGGGTTTTGCTTTTGTACGCTATAATAGGTTTTCTTCTCTAAGAAGGTGGAAAACGAATCGCTGGTCAGCATTAGAGAGAAGATCGGCGGTCTTGACGGCGGAGTTGACTCTGGAATAAAGTTATGGGAAGCTCCGCTTTCCTGGGCTAACCCTTACACGTATAAGGGTATTAGGGACTAGACCCCGAGTGACGCACTTTTTGAGAAAGTCGCTTGGCAGAAGATGAATGAATTTCCTTTTGAAATGGTTCAGGGAAAGCAAATCAAGAGGGCAAGCTATACTTGACTTGCCGGAGCTTACAGTAGATCAAAACCATCAACACCCCAGCTCGTTCCGTAGTTGGATCTTGAGTGTGGGAGTGACGGCGGAAGTTCTTTGGATACACCAGTGGAACGGGGATTGCTTCCACTTCGATAGATAAGGGTGATAGGTCTTGAAGAACAACTTGGTTTTGTTGAGGCGGAAGGCGGCCCGTGTGAATTAGAAGTCATTAGGTGTAGGCACTTTACAGTGGTGGTGGAATCTTTCCCTACTAGAGTGCACTTTCATATTCATGTAATCTTGCATCAATCCGAAGGGGGCACATGAAAGTCAAGCCAATCCAGCGCCGGTTTGGTTGGGTTTTGATTCCTCTCAGAACGTACGGGAGTGCCAGGATGCTTGAAGGGGCGGTAGGGGCTTTCTGCCCAGGTGCTCTAAGAAAAAAGTCTAGCGCGATATGGCTCCTGGTGACCCATCAGTATAGAGTTTGATAAGAAAGGTCTCCCCTCCACCCCTATGGTATATTCAAAAAGCGTCCCCGTAATCATCTTCTCGGTGCACAACAAAGCTCGAAGTTTTGCTTTGGAGGCTCGCTGAGACAGACCTGTTGTGTTGGAGCCTTATCTACTTTAAA